TTAGTTCCATCGTTATGGTACTCATTCGTTATTAACATCAAGAAGGCACAGGGATCTCTAATAAATATACCATTCGATGCAGAATTTGATTCTTTACAAAGTGGCCTGTTAATTGTTTACTCACATTCTTCAGGACAGCTTCTAAGCGCTTGTACAGTTTCTAACTTACTATACAATTATTGAGCTCGTATTTTGGATGTAGCAACTAGATTTTTTTTACAGAAGGATATGCATGGCAGTGATCAACATATAAACATGGAGTATTTTTAAGCATGTTAAGTGCTTCAAATTCGGTCGACATAAAAACGTGTCACAGCGTTATGTTTGGTTTTTCCATTTTTAATCTGAGCAAAAATAGTTTAGAAAAAATACTTTTTACAGCTTGAAAGCCCATTCAATTCTCTACAAAAATGGTACCATAAGCATTTCATTTGAAGAAATGATTTGGCAAGAAATTAGAGCTTTATAAGGAAACCTAGAAAAAAGAGTCCTGTTTTGCCAGTGTTACGGGATGATAAAACCTTTCTAGAAGCGCGAGAATTCAGTCGAACTAGGCCACTCTTTCAACATTAATAGATTATGATAAGCTGCATCGAATGACGTTTGAACGACCTTATTAGCTCTTATACCTTTCGAGATAATTGCAAAACTATTTGTCAAAATATCACAGCATTATGTTTGGACAAGGCGAGATATATTTAACGAAGAGAGAATAGAAACTTCATTTCCATCACCAGGAGAGATAGATGAAATATCAGCACATGAATCTATCGACGATGATAGCGATGCATAGTTTTATTTTTAATAGTTTTATTGAAATATCAGGATAGTTTTAGTTTCTTTCACGTTCCCGAGAAGAATAAAATTGCTGTTATTTTCGAACTAAAGTAAGTATATGCAAAATTTGCAGGGCGTGAAGGTATAGCCCTGCCCTGCCCTGTGGACACCTCTGGTACAGCTGTATCGAGAAATTTTACTATTGCTCAATCGAGATGAAATTAAAAATTACTTTCGAAGAATCAGTTTCAAGGAACAACGGGTAATAACGTGCAGAGAATACCTGGAGCTAACTATACATAAATTTAGTCTTAGAAGAATATTTTCGATTTGGTTTTCGTATAAAATAATGAGAATCATGGAGAATTTCTTACCACGTGCACAATCACGAACGCCATCTTTGACATTATATTTTGAGATACAACTAAATGGTATTGAATTTGGGCAATGTCTGGCTTGATTAGGATACGAGTCATTCCAACAATTTCCATAGTTCGTTTCATTCGCATTGATAGATTGATGCCTCTCACATAAAAGCACTTCTAATGGATAAGCATCAAGTGCTCTAACATATATGACTACTAAAGTTTCATTGACGAACCAATCTTTCTGGTTGGCTATATCTGTTGCTGCTCGCATTTCATTATTACATTTAATACTACGAGTGAAAATAAAAACGTCTGGCCACACATTACGATCAAAATTGTGCTCATTGCTTTTGTAATAAGTTTCAACAAATGGCGTGAATATACGCCCAGATGGATAGGCAAATAATGAGATATCATGTGAACTACAGTAGCGATGAAAATAAGCACGGCAACCATTACCTGCGCATGGACACAAATAATGTTGACCTTGTCTAGTTAATGCACATTTATGAATAAAGATACAATCATTTTCCTCTTTTAGCACATTTGTTGTGTTATCAACATAGTCTAGGCAATGGCCATTCGCTGGATTTGTCCACATAATCTCTCGATTATTCAGTTCACATTTCCATTGTCTCTCGCGAAATGAGTAGCAAGTGTCAATATCAATGGATATTGACTTGTCTCGATATTGTTTTATAAAAGATAGGTCTGATCCATCACCACACGAAATGTATTTTTTACTGTCTAATATTTTTTCCTCACAATCCAATTTGGGTCGAGCATAACATAATCCAGTAAGAACATAAACTGAATTACGTTGTTCATCTGATTGGTCTTGACAATCAATGTCTCCATCGAGAAAATATTCTTCATCAATACACATTCCATTTCTGCAACGATATTCACTCTCTGGATTGCACTCATTCAATAACAAATGTTCACAATAGTCTTCGTCTGTTCCATCCACACAATTTTGGGTTCCTTTATCATATGAACAGAGAAAGAAATTGAGCGTTTTGCACAAATTCACATGTGCGGATGTTCCAACAGTCTCTTCCTAAAACTTTCCATCTATCAAATCTTTTAGGAAGAGACTGTTCGGATACTTTGTACTTACCGTCACAAATATTTCTCCAATCAAGGCAGACTTTTCCATAATCACATGGAAATGACGCCTTATAACACGTTGTAATACCGAACAGTTGACTACCCAATCGATATTTAAGTTTTTGATTATACTGAGAGAGAATTGTTGCTTCGAAGCTGCTTTGTGAAAATTGATATTCACACAAGACACCAAAACTTCTCGAATTTGTACAATTACAAATGAATTGATCTGTTTCTTGATTAGTTCTACAAATTTTAAGAAAAATAGAATATTGTTTTATTATGTTTTTTTTATCACTTACCCATATGGGTGATTCGCAAGATAAGCACGATACCGATCAATCGCATCCACACCAGAGTTCCATAATAATAATTCTTGTGTAGTAATATTGTACTGTTTCAAAACATCGAACGATACCAATATACCTCCATTCAAACAACCACAAGAATAATTTCGTTGAACTGACGCAAATCCAGCAGGTCTGATACAATATTTTATCGATTGCACTGATTCCATATTGTTGTAGAAAATTTTCCCTCCGCCATCATAGTATATGCAATCATATGACTGTGTCTCTTGGTAATTATTTGTATCGTAGAATAGAATAGTTGAATTAACCGAATCGCAAAAGAGAAAAAAATAGACTAAACAGTACAACCATTTAATCTTCAGTCGATATTTTAGCAGCATTTTCTACAATCATATATATATATATATATAAATTACTTTTCACAAAATTTAACAAAAAATGCAGATATATCCCAAAAAATAGTTATACTATTGTGTTAAAACTCAAGTGATAACTCTAAAGATCATAAACTCGGAATAAATAGTGTGTATAACATATGGTAGGATGAGTATTTATAAAACGGTTGGATTAATTATTGCAAGTTATAATTCGCTAGAAAAAGTATGATCAAAGTGGGTGTGGGTGTGGGTGTCAGCATAGATTGAGTGAATACTCAAACCCAAATATCCACATCCACATTACCACAGATTGGCTGGTTAAAAATCTTTACTGGTACCAGACCGGCCATTAACCAATATTGGTTCCATCTCTGGGAAAGGGGCATTTATAATAGAGCCCTCAGTCATGGAGTCAGTGGATATGTGTGCGGGATGATCCTCGCCCCGGCTCCCCTGTGGAACTTTGAAACCGTCATTCCAAAATGTCTGAGCTATGCGTTTTTGTAGCTATTCGAGACCCTCCCCTGATGACTAGAATTTTTAAGCACTAATTGTGTTGCTTATGGAGAACTGAACCCGTCCCTTAGGAAATTTCGCTTGGTACCTTAACCAGTACAAACAAGAAAATTTGAGAGTGAAAGATTGATTTTAAAAAGCGATTGTAAAAGGTATCTACTTTTTAACATGAGATCGAGTATAGTATGACTTTTTCGGTTGCCCTCTGAGCAAGATTTTCCAAAATCCTAAAGGATTCGTTTGACGCCTATCTTTTTAGTGCACTGTAAGACGTCGATTAGATGAGATTTTTGGTACTTACTAACCACTTTTGGCGTAGGCCCTATCTAACAAAAATCATTGCGAGAAATGCATCTTCTAGATCCGTCAACATAGAAATTACACTGCAAACAACATATTAATATTTACTAATGAAAATACATTAGGCTGCAGACGAGACAAGTATGTCGATTTCCAGATGTTACTAAATTTGTTGGTACTGTGAGGTACATTCTAAGCTGCAAGCTTAGAATTATTTTTCCTGCCAAGGTTTTAGCTAGCTTATCTTATTCTAACGCAATTTAAATGACGATTTCATGTATACTGTCTATGAAAATGATCTTCGTTTACAGCTCAGAATGATTTTCTAGATCACTCGATTAGTTCGATTTTACAAGAAGACAACGATTCTAAACTTAAGTTCTAGTCTGGACTCCTGTATCATTAGATCGAAACACAGTGAGGGAAAATCTCATAGATAATAAAACATCGAATAATTCGTAACAGTATTTAAAAGTTTATGGGCTCTAACAAGGAGTAAAGCTTTTACCCAGGAATGTAACTATGTAGGTAAAACAAGGGCGAAAAAGCGCGACTTCCGTACTTCCGTACTTCCTTTGTACTCCCCTGTACTTCTCTTGTACTCCCCTGTACTTCTCTTGTACTTCCCTCGTACTTCTCTTGTACTTCCATGTACTTCCCTCGTACTCCCTCGTACTCCCTCGTACTCCCTCGTACTCCCTCGTACTCCCTCGTACTCCCTCGTACTCCCTTATANTTTTAATTGAGACTTTCATATGAAAAAGCTGTTAGCGCAATCCCTTTGGGATTAAAAGTGTGAAACACGATGAAACTTCTTTTCTGGGATTCGTCTATTACTGTCACTGGTGGTCTCTGGACAAGGGGGAAAAAGCGCGACTTCCGTACTTCCGTACTCCCTTTGTACTCCCCTGTACTTCACTCGTACTCCCCTGTACTTCTCTTGTACTTCCCTGTACTTCCCTCGTACTTCCCTGTACTTCCCTCGTACTTCCCTCGTACTCCCTCGTGCATCCTTCGTACTTCATTGTACTTCCATTGTACTTCGCTCATACTTCCATTCTACTTCCATCGTACTCCCTTGTACTCCCCTCGTACTTCCTTGTACTTCCATTGTACTTCCGTGTACTTCCACGTACTTCCATGTACTTCCATCAAATAGAAAAGTAGATGCAGCAGCTTCACGAAATGCTCGGTATAGCTGCTGAAATCAGTTTGTCTGTTGGTTGTCGAGGTTGGATAACTTGAATCTGGCATCCATTTTTAGATAGTTTTTACCAGATGCTTTTTTGATGAAAATTTTTTTTTTTGAGAAAGAATTAATTTCGGTAAAGTTTGACCGAAGGTTCTCAAGATCGGGGAACTCGAATCTGACATCGGTTTTTGAGATTTTTTTACGCAATTTGTTTTTTGGTAGAAAATATTTTTTTGAGAAATAAATTCTTTTCGATAAAAGGAGAAGGGCGTATAAGACCGTTTTGCGGCTACCCCCTTCAGATTTGAATTATTTCTATCAGATATTAATCAGGGATCATTCTTGATCACTTTTTTCAACTTTGTTTCTGGAAAATCGACATTGACGATTTTTTTGCCTGGGGTACCCCACAGGTATCATTGAAAACAAAATTTGTTTTATCGCGAGCCCAACCAGATGTAATTGTAGATTAAATGGTACCGATTACGAATATCACAATAAGAGCTCCGAAAATTCCTTTATTCTTTATAAAACCTGAACCACTCGCTTGACCCTATTTTTCATTGTTTGGGCCCTCATAGAATAACGAAACGATAAACTTTAGTGCAAAATGATTTCCTCTAACTGGTAATTTTGAGTTCTCTGCGAATCTTAAGTTTTTACATCGAAGAAATGTAACTTATAGAAAAAAAGCAGGGATTCCGGGGGTAAAATGTGACCCCTTCTCGCTATATTAGTCTATCTTGAGAATGAAGTGAGTCTTGCCCCAACGTCAAATTTTGATCGTAAGCGTAGTTTTTCAAGCTCTATCGGTTGGAGATCTCGAAAATAATAGAAAAGTTGTGCAAATGGGTGAAAAGGTAAGAACACAATTAATTTCTATCAAATTGATGCAGTGAACCACTGCTACTAAAAAGTATAAGATCGGGAAATCAACAGATATATAGTCGATCTTGTACAGCGTAATGAACTGTGCACGCACTTAAAAAATTATGGATCTCCGTTCTTTCTTTTGACTCACATATTTGCTTCAAAAGACGTATGAGTCGTTTCAAGCAGGTAAAATTTCACGTCAATTTTTGAACCGAAAGAAAGAGCTGAGATCCATAATTTTTTACTGTATGTACAGTTGACTAAGCTCTGCAATATGGGCTACATATCAGTTGATTTCAAGATCTCATATATAATCGTGGCTGTGGTCCCATACATCAATTTTATAGAAATTATTAGTATTCTTAACCTTTGACACTGTTACACAATTTTTCTATTATTTTCGAGATCTCCAGTCGATAGAGCTTAAAAAACTACCCTTTCGATCAAAATTCGGCGTTGCGGCAAGACTCGCTTCATAGCAAACTACTAATGGAAAAACTATACATTTAAAAGACAGTCAATGTTTGCCACTGAATCGCCATCTCGTTTGTTGAAGGGTTCATTTTTCGGTATCAAAGGTTCAGATTTCGTGAAGAGCTCAAAATTTTTGGTTAGCAAACCTATTTTTCACTTAATTTACAAACAAATGCTATTGTATAACGGTCGCAACAATGAAAAATAGGGTCCAACTAGTAGTGACGACGACTTTGGAAACAAAGTAGTTTTGAGACTTCTCATTTGTACATTCGTAATCAGCACCATTAAATCTACAATTACATCAGGCTTTGGCTCGTGATAAAACAAATTTTATTTTCGATGATACCTGTCGGGTACCCCAGGCAAAAAAATCGTCAGTGTCGATTTTCGGGAAACTAAGTTGAAAAAGTGATCAAGAACGATCCTTGATTAATAGCTGATAGAAATAATTCAATTCTGAGGGGGGGGCGCAAAACGGCCTAATCCGCCCTCCTCCTTACCTAATATTCTCAGAAGTATTACAAATCTGCAACAATATAGGCTTACGCTATTTTTTCCGCTTTCTAAGGTCAGCTTTCCCATTTGTAGACCTCATCAGGTGAAAACCCTGTGTGACATTCTTACCATCTTTTGGCAGCTAATAAGATGAAATGATCAATTCGATTAGCGCAATGAAAAATACAAATATTTTTAGGTTGATAGAAGAATATCTATCGAAAACTCTTATAGAATGTATTATATATCATAGTTCTGAATAATAACATACTTAAAATGAAAACTATGATACTTATATGAGAAGCTGTTCATAGTTCAAGATAGTTCATTGTACTTCTCTTGTACTTCACTCGCACTCCCTTGTACTTCCTTGTACTTCTCTTGTACTTCCTTGTACTTCTCTTGTACTTCCCTGTACTTCACTTGTACTCCCTTGTACTTTACTCGTACTTCCCTGTACTTCTCTTGTACTTCCCTGTACTTCACTTGTACTCCCTTATACTTCACTCGTACTTCCTTGTACTTCACTCGTACTTCCTTGTACTTCCATCGTACTTCCATGTACTTCCATGTACTTCCATCGTACTTCCATGTACTTCCATCGTACTTCCATGTACTTCCATGTACTTCCATCGTACTTCCATCGTACTTCGAATTTTTTTTGAAGTAGATGAAGTCGCGCTTTTTCCCCCTTGGTTTTAAGCAAACATTTATAAAAATAGATCTGTAACTAGATCAATTATTTCACATTCTTTTTTTTTAATATTGAATTTATTGCATATACATGTTTCATTATATGCACGTTTTCGTGTTCAAATCATTTAGTAATCAATTTTCGTGTTTCAATAATCCATTAGTCAAATTATTCAATTTTAAAATTTTCATGTTCAGATAATCTAGTGTTCATTTTCTTTTAGGAAAATAAAATTTGATAATAATAAATCAAAAGCTGTCCTCTTTTTAAATTTTATTTAAA